GATTCCATCAAAATTTAGAACTTTACATGACATCATTAAAATGAAAAGTAGTCCTTGTTGCACCCAGTGAGAGAGAACCAACCAGAGACTGATATTAAATCCACACAAGAGTTTATTACCAGCCGGGACCCGAGCCAAGCATCGGACTTGAGCCTTGACTGGGGGTTGACAAACATGTTTCATACACCTTTGAGGCCAACAGTTTCTAGGCCCCCTTATGGGATAGAACTAGTAAAGCAAGCAAAAGGTACAGAAGTGGAACATCCTGCTGTTAGAACATTTGTAAAACAGTAGTTGATTAATTGTTGTTTCTAAGAGACTCTCTAAGGGGAGGAGGTTTCTAAGCTTCCTCCTTCTGAGTTCATCTAAAAGGCAGGCAGGTGGGTCAAGCAGAAATATGGAGTCTGTCTTGCTAACTAGGGTCCTGCATTCCCCACTGGTTCTTGTAACAATCAAATCTTTGATTCCTGTATTTACTCTTTGAATTTTTTTAAACATCTTTTAAAATCTCATAATTTTGTCTCAACATCATCACTTTAACTGTATCAACCCTCTGTCTAACATATTTAGTCAGAGCAGTTATAATGTAAGGTCTCACGAGCAAAAACAGAAGTAAGATAACTAAGGGGCCTGCAACAGCAGAAAGTAGGGTAGTTAAACATGGTGACCAGTCAAATAGATTTTGAAACCAATTTTGATCCTTTTGTTGAGCATATTTAGCCTTTAAATTTTCCCTGACCATAGCTAAGTTATCTCTAATGACACCAGACTGATTAGCATAGAAGCAATGGACTTTTTTTTTTCCTAGGGCTACGCATAACCCCCTTTGTTTTATGAACAGGAGGTCAGGTCCCCTTTGATTTTGCAGGACCATTTTAGCTAGGGAATCAACCTGGTTTCTTTATTCTTGTTTTTCTAGGACCTTGAAAAACTCCTAACCTAATCCATCATTAGGTTATTTCTTTGGGATTGCTCTATTCTTTTAATGTGAGTAGTCACTGCTATAAACTTATCTATTAGAACTATTTTCTTTGTGTCCCAGAGCTTTTGGTATGTTACATTTTCATTGTCATTCAATTCTAGGAACTTTTAAAATTTCTTCCCTGTTTTCTTCTGTCAGTCTGTGTCTTTTGATTGGTAAGTTAGAACCATTAGCATTGAAAGTTATTATTGTGAGCTATTTATTGGATTCAGTCACTGCATTATATTTTCAGTGCTGATTATTATTATTTTTTCCTTTAGATCGAGTACTCTCCCAGTTAGATGTAGTTTTCTTTGGCTTTTTTTGGTGCTGGTGGTCTGTCATGAACTTTTTTAGAGTTTCTTCTATTTGTCTATTTCAAAAGATAATTTTGCAGAATATAGAAAGCTGAGATGGCAGTTGTTTTCTTTTAAAGGTTGAAAAACTTCATTCCCAGCACTCCCAATCTTTGTTTGTCATGAAAAAACATGTTTTAGCTTGCCTTTTTTATAGATTACAGATTACTTGTTGTTTTTCTCTAACACCTTTCTTTGTGGTGAATGTATTCTTTCTTTGTGGTGCAGTTTTGGAATTTCGAGTATGATGTATCATGGAGATGCTTTTTTGTGTGTTTTTTTTTTGGCCACGTCTATTTGGGTTCTGTGTGCCTTATTTACATGAAAACTAAATTTTTTCCTAAATTTTCTGATATGATGTTAGTGAATACAAATTTTTATGCCTTATGAGTCATCTTCTAATCTGTCCTTTAGTCCAATAATTCTTAGAGGGTTTTTTTTAAATCATTCAATAGCTTTTTTTTTTTTTTTTTGGTACCAGGGATTGAACTCTGGTCCTTGCACTTGCGCAGCAGGTGGTGAAACCACTGAGCCAAATCCGTGGCCCTATCATTCAATAGCTATTAGATTCAGCTTTCACGGTGTCTTGTTGTTGAGTATGTAATCTACTCCACTCTCTCCTTACATTAATAATATTTGCTGCCCATACTTTCAATTGGCAAGAAAAGCGAAGGTGAACAGAGTATGAAATAAAAAATTTCTTGTATTATTATTGGAAGGTGTCATATTTTTCCATGCAGAGAGTATTTTTACAAGTTTCATGGTTCTTAGGTCCAGGTTTCATGGTCTGATAGCACATACATAAGCGCTACTTAGATGACAAACTTGGATACAAGTCAACTTCATGGAAATACTAAACCCTTCTCAAACTTTAATTTGCATACAAGCTACATGGAAATTATTAAATTGACTTCAATACAGTTAGCTCTTGCTGTTGTCTGAAATTTTGCGTTTCTAACAAGCATCTAGGTGATGCTACAGCTCTGTTCCACAGGTCATGTTCACCTTAAACAAACACAAAAGAAAGTTCAGGAAGATTAGGCTCCAAGGTTATAAGCCACACAAGTCCGGGTAATGTCAATTTGTACAACAGCTAAAAGAAAGTTTGATGTAGACTATATGCTAACTGAGTGAAAGTTACTGATGTCCTGGTCAGAATTCTAGAACATTCAAGCTAAAAATAAGAGTTCTATAAATATGGATATTAAGCTCTTAAGGGGTTAAGTCATCTGCTTATTGTCACATAACTATTTAGGGTATGATCTGGATTCTAAAAGTGACCTAGTTTTCTAACCAGTGCCCTTTGCTTGCTTCATATAAGACAGTAAATCAGCCTACAACAAAGGACATGAGGACAGGATACAAAGTAAAGAGTGGACACAACAGAATAGTTGGGATAGGACAAAAAGTATACTAAAAGTAATGTAGGTCCAATGACTGAATTAATGAAAGACAAGATACAAACAAGTAAATATAGAAATAATCATTTTAGTATTGATATATAATAGTGATATATAATAGTGATTTCAAGGGATAATTCATCAAGTAGGGTCATTTTCCCTAGGATAGGGCACATAAAACATAAAGATCAGAAGCAATTGTGGGGAGGAGCTCCATTCTTCCTCATGTGGTGAGCAATCCTACTTCAGGTCTCAGGCATAGCCACCATTTTCCCTAATATTTCTTTTATTATACTACATCAGAGGCTGATGTAGAGTCCTCATGGGTTCAGGCTAAGTCCAAGGATACCATAATGGGTCTCTAACAGGACAACTGAAGAGTAAGGAAAAATATCAGTCTCCCACAAATATAACTCAATCCATGTTGCATAGGTAGTGGCAAGAAAGGCATGAGGTATAGGCTAACAAAGTTTAGACAGAAATAATCAAGAAGATTCCCAACAGTTCCAATGTCAGAAAGGAGTGCTTGAGTCTCTATCTTTGTGATCTTGATGATTATTGGCCTTGATGTTGGCTTTCAACTTTCAAATCTTCCTTCTAAGAATGAAAAACTTCAAATTTTACCCAAAACTGAATAGAAACTTTGCGAATGTAGCTCAGAGGTAGATGTCTTGCCTAAGAAATCTAATGTCTTGGGCTCAATTCCTAGTACCATATAAAAACAAAATGGTAAATAGGCAACTGCAATGTAGAGGTTTCTCTAAGTCAAGTATGCCCTAACATCAAATCAGAAATCCTTAGTCTGGAGTCTTCATAACCTGGCTTTTATATCATCACTCTGGAAAACCTAGGAGTATTATTATTGAATAGGAATGCTTTGAACTTCAATAAAGAGAACAGGTTTAGAAACTACCATCACTTTTTTGAAGGGACATATTGGGGGAAAAAAGATGACATCCAAAGGTACCTGGAAGAGAAAGTCAGGTGGCATGGACATCCTTTACTTTTATGCAAGAAATGCATAAGAAAAATGTAAAACAAAAGAAAATATTACAGCAGAAGAGATGGTAAGGGAAGTGGGCAATAGACAAAAAGAAGCACTTCTTTTTTAAGTGGTTTCTCAGAGGGTAAAGATAGCAGGATCCACAGATGACTTCAAGAATGCATTAGCTGTTTTCACAATCTTATGTGTAGAAGATCCTGTGATGACAGAAAATAGGAATCAGTAATGAGGGACAACAAATAAAAGACTCTTCTCCCATTCTCCCTGATTATGTCCCCTGCATCCTGCTTTATCATTCCTCAATACCCCCAATTTTTCTCTTCTTCCTACTAAGATTCTCCTTTAGTCTTCTCTGGTTCCATAAAAAGTCATCATCAGTGAGGTGATAAACACCCAAAGAATAAGTGCTTCAAGCTCAGTGTTATACTTAGCATTGAGAGAGTGAGGAAAGTAGGTACCATTTTATGTCCTTCAAATTCAACAATTCACACTCCCAATCTATGTCCCCTTCCTTCTCTACTTAGTCCTCCCTCTCTTGCATTAATGATTTCACCCTTCCCTGACAAAAAAAAAGACTAGCTGGAAGACCAGATAGAGTCTGAACCAGGATGTGGTGAGAATGGCTGTGAGACTCTCATGGTTACCCTCTACCAGACCTGTAGGTGCAGAACATGGGAAGATGTCCAGACTCCTAAGAGGGTAAGGCAGGGATCCTAGGATTGAGCTCCTACCTGCATGGGTGTGAATCCAGGCCCTGGCCTTCCTTTCCAGAAGATCCCATTCACTCTCCTGGTCCATCCCATTGGTATGCAGCCAGACCACAGCAAGGACTGTGGCCCAGACCGAAGAGTCCATCACATACTGTGCAATAGACAGAGATGCCCCTGAGGCCTCCAAGCTGGGCAGGAAGCCCCTCAAGTATACAAAGTGCTTCACTCCCTGCTCACTTGCCATCCCCAAACTACTTCTAGATAGCATTACCTTCTCTCTCTCTCTACTTACTTCTACCCTTGCATAAGATAGTGTCAGACCCTGAACCCCAGGGCAATGATTATTTCAGTGTTAGGGTAGAAAGGGCTTGATTGTTAAAGCCCATGTAACTACCAAGGCACAGCTGGAAGTACCTAAAATATTCCAGACAAGAATTACCCACCTGTGATAAGAGAAATACATATGCAATCACTTTTTAATTTTAATCTTTATCACCCCACAAAAAAGGGCATGAGGAATAGTTACATTTTCAAAAGAGAAAAGTGATTCATATAGAAGAGAAAATATTTGTTCAAGTTAGCCTTTTGGCAACGATAGAGGTGGGACTGAACAGTAAACACTCTGATTCTAGTTATATTGCTAAATAGAAAATCTTAGCCAGAGAGCAGAAAATCATTGTATATGAGTTTTCACCAACTGTTTCCTAAAGCTTTAGTTTTTAGATTTAGTAAATCAAAGGAAATTCCTCTCTTATATCATGACTTTTAAAATGTGGATACAGCAGCTATCATTTCCTATCTAAGTAGTCTTATTTCAGACAAAAATTGCCTTATGTCAAAGACGTAAGAATCCCCATGCTTATGTTCTTAGTCTCAAAACAAATATCACAGTGATTTTTTTTAAATGATCAAACTCAAATCTTTATTTTTTTAACTGTATAAATGTGATCCAAATATGTCCACCACTAGTTCTTCCAAAAGAAACATGCTGTAAATAACCAAACTTCATCAGCTCACTGATGTATATGGACTCCCTAGATGTCTCACTGGGCTTAATTACAGACCACTCACAGCAATAGATTTTTAGTATAAAGTGTAGCATGATGTTAAGCCATTTTAGCTTCTGCACATACATGTTGCACTTCTGGCTGATAATTGCAGCATTACACTGTTAGCTAGGTCACATCCTTCCTTTTAAATGGCATCGATGTCAAGATCATCATCCCTGTTGTCAGACTTCAGTTTCAACTTTTGGTACACTGGCAATCTTCAAATAAACCACCTCAATGTTCTCATCTTCATCATCTTCTTCACCACCAGAAGATTCTTCCTCTGCCTCCTTCAACCATTTTATAAATGGCTCCGCTTTGACATGAATCTCTTTGGCAAGTTCTTTTGAAACACACTTCTTAGAGGACTTTTCCAACCAGCTGATGATGACCTCCTCTTCCAAAAGGTCTGCATCGTCTATCTCCTTCAAGATATGCGGGATCCTGGAAAGGAGCTGAGTTTGATGCATCACCACCACACACTCAAGACCATGAAGAAGATACTGCTGAGCGTTTTTGTTGTTGTGACAGAATTGGAGGAAATGGTGCCTGTATTTCTTAATTTGTTCTCTAATCTTCTCATTAAAAAGAACTTCAGTCAGAACAAGAGGGCCCATGGCTTTTACATCTAGTCTTTCTGCTTCAGCAACAATTTCTTTGTCAGATGAGTCAATAATGCCCTCTTCTTTCTTTTTCTTAACAAAATCAAAGAGGATATTCACACGCTCTTCTACAGTTCTTTCCAAATCATCACTGAGTGTCAGGACTTTTGCATGGTCGGTCCATTCTGCGCCTCTGAGCTTCCTCAGTTGTAACCTCCCCCCAATCTTCATCTTCCTCCTCTTCCACAGCATGTGGGGGAGGACTGATTTCACTTGGGGATGGTGGGGGTGGTGTCTCACTGCTGGATACAGAGCCACTTTCCTTGTCTTTGCCCTTTCTATTTTTCTTTTCCTTTTCTTTCTTTCCTGTACCACTGTCACTATTTTCAGATGGGTTTTTGAGAATGAATGTGCAGAGTTTATGATGTGTGTCAAGCATGCCTCAATAGCCACGGGCTTTACAAGAATTACCTATTGTTTGCTTCTTCAGATTCACATGCAGATCTGTTTCAGGATTCTCACACTCTGGACAGAGAACAAATTTTTTAATGAATCCACCCAACGTGTCTTGCAGCTTATTCGCCTCATGAGATCCATTGACAATGTAACAGTCATTCTTTACATCAAACTGGATCTGTGCTCCCAGCTCACAACCAAAGTATTTGGTGGGATACATTGGAGGCCGATTAAGCATCTTTGCAACGTCAACCATATTGACTATAACTGTCTTGATTCCATTTCCTTTGGCCTCAACTTTAGCAATCAGACGGGACATCTTGTAGCCATAGAACTGGTCCGAAACTCTGAGGTTGACGTTGACAGACATTTTGGCTTACTTTGTCAATAAGATGAAGAGATCTTTGATTGCAACTTTTTGGTATCTTCTGTCTGGAGAAGAAGGGATGACATAAACGACTGCAAGAGTCTCGGTCTCTGACATGAAAAAATTTTCACCACTGAGGCTGTAAGCTTCTTGTTTGTATGCTGTTTCCCCAATACAGATACCAATGGCTGCTCAACAGCTCTTTGCCCCCTTCCCAATGGCTACGCAGCGGGCAGGTCCCAGGGCCGCCTCCCGCGGGGGAGGGGGCGGGGGGAAGCGAGCGGCTCAGCGCCATGACTCACAAATGCGTGGGGCCTGACTCCTATCACAGTGATTTTTAAAATACAGCTTATGAAATGGCCATATCTGGAAGCAAATATATTTATGAATTTTCATGTCCACAGCCTAAGAACACAGCAGTTTTTCAGAAAGTTCTTTACCAGTACTAATGATGTTCAAATATTCTGATTCAAATTTGTTTGAATATGAAAATATTTTAAATGTTGCCTGTGAAACTACTGATTTTCATATACAATTGCAACTTAATATTTGCTTTTTTTCTACTTATATAGTTGAGAATTTCAAACAAAAAGTAGTATTTAATTTTTATTTCTACTATACTTTTGTTGCTGTTATTGTTTTTTCATGAACATTTTTAATTAATTGTTCAGAAGATTTGGGGATCCTGATTCTCTTGACTAATACTTTAACTCCAAGTTTTGTCATGTACAAATTAGAAAAGCTTGTTCTCAATCTTTATCTAGATCTTTATTGAAAATACAAACTTCTAAAAATTTGAACTATGAGTTTTCAACTAGTTTCTACTTAGTCCAAGTATTCATCATTTAAAGAATCAGATCTCCTAATAAAATTCAGATTTACCAACTCTCTTGTTTATCTCAAACTGTTGGCCTGGTTATCAAGCAGAAGGAAACGTCAGCCCAACACGTATTGTGCTTGGTAAATACAAGCTAGAACTCCTCAATCCTTATACCATCTTCCAAGTACTTATCAATTATCCTTTAAATTATTTGTTCTAGAACAGCATTTTCCAATAGAAAGACATAGCTAGACATATATATATTTTTAATTTTCTAGTAGCTATATTTAAAAAGTGGAACAGGTCCAATTATTTTATTTATTTCTTCATTATATTTTATTTTACTTTGGTTCTGGAGATTGAATGCAAAGCTTCTCACATGCTAACTATGTGCTCTATCAGTGAGCTATACTCCCTGCTATTAATATATTTTATTTAACCCAATAAAATGATAATTTTTACATGTAATCAATGCAAAATAATTATTGACAAGTTATTTTCCATTCCTTTAATATAAACCTTTGAAATTAACCTCAGCATGCCACACCTTCAAGGAATTTTGTTCCTCATTTGCATCAGCCACATTTCAAACTCTCCATGGATACCGGACAATTATGTAATATCTAAGTTTTATTCAGTTATCTTCTACATTTTCAAACCTCAGACTACTAGTTGACCTCACACTTTCAAGATCTGTCTCTTATATAACAATTTGTCAAGGAGGATTAGAAGACTTAGCAAGTTATCTTACACTTCTGAATGTAATGTGTCCATATCCTCATATTTAAATACACTTGAAATAACTAACTGGCTTATATTGTCACTTCACCCATCCTGACTTCAATTAATTATTTTACAAGCTGGACCACCTTCTTTAGTGTGAAGAGAAACACTCCTGAAGTTATTACTGGAGGTTCTGGAGAAAGGCCTGGCACTGACTCCATCTCCACCTGACTGGCTCAGACATATTATTAAACTTCTTAGGTTTCACTTTTTTCATCTCCTACACAGCAACATGAGTAGGACTGACCTTATTTAACTAAAGTGAAGAATAAATAAAATCATGAACATCAACCACTTAGCACAGTGCCCGGCACATGTAAATACTCACAAAAGTTTAGTTTTACAACTCAGATGACTGGAAGTGAATATAATTAAAATAGAAGAGTTTTTGTTTTTCTCTTTGTCATCTATCAACTAATTCAAATTCCCATTACCTGGCTTGTTTATTCTTTGTTCTCTTGACTAACATAACCAGAAAAACTTGCAACTTCTATTTATTAGAAATTAACTTTGTCTATGTCCCTTCTGTATTCACTTGCAACTTCTACTTATTAGAGATTAACTTTGTCTATGTCCTTTCTATATTCTCCTTTTGTAGGTAGGCTCCGACTCACCCCAATTATCACTAGCAACTTCATTCCATCAAAAACCTACATATACCTTCATTTTCCTTTATATCTCACCTTGGTAGGGTGTGCAGCCTTTATGTCTTCCAAGTTCATACCTAAGACCTTGGCCAGCCCTTCATTCAGATCCCAGGAACCATTTGCATTTTGAAGGAAAATCAACTGCACAATACCATTTCCTTTGAGGAGAAAAAGACAGAGTGGAGAGAAAGAGGAGGAGGGAGGGAGGGAGGGAAGGGGAGAGAGAGAGAGAGAGAGAGAGAGAGAGAGAGAATGTGAAATTATGAAGTCTGTGGACCATTAGCACACCTGAAATAGACTGCTGAATTTACAGACAGCTGTAGCAAGAGTGTCATTAGACAGCATCCAGATTTACCTTCAAGCCCAATTTTTTAAAAAAATGATCAGTAGAACAGGGCCCAAACAGGGTAGCAGCAGAGTTCTGCAGGGGCCTGGCCTGCTTACAGGTAAACTCTTCAGACAGAGATGGACAAAGGACTTTGTATAATAAGAGGTCAGCCCAGACCCTAGTGGTGTAGAAAGCTTCAGGGTCCTGTACTGGGCACTAATGTAGCTGGGCTAACTCTGGGAAATATAAGGACTGGACAAATCTCATCTCTGTCTGCTTTCATTCAGAGATGCCCCCCCCAGGTAGAAAAGGCTACAAGACAGCACAGCATTGAAGATTTGTCTGTCAGTCCCTGTAGATAAATGATGAATTGAGGCTCATCTCACCTTTACAGTTACTTTGCAAATTGGTTTCATATGTTGAAGAATGAGTCTTTTTCATGTGATGCATGGACTCCAGGCGAGACCTACATTTAATCTTCTGGCCATGGCTAGAACTTTGCAATACAGCTTGATCTATGTGTGACAGACAAAACTGGTGAGAAAATATTCTTAGGAAGATGCTCAATTAGACTGTAAAGGCCATTGTGATTTATAGACCTACCAAGAAGCTCACTCTTCTTTGAGTGTGTCATGGTGCCAAGGCAAGCTGCTCTGTTAGTGAACCCAGATGGAGCAAAGTGGGAGCTATGGACCCGTGCAGGAGCTGAAAACACCAATACTGACACTGAGATGGAGACACCCTGCTCTCTTCAGCAGGTAAAGTTACTAAAGCCTGATGATTTGAGACACAGCTTCCCATCTATATCAGCTCTTCAGTCACCACCATTACTATATAATTCTCTCACAAGTCCATTTTCTGCACACACCCTCAATTCTCTGAGCTCCCTTTCAATGTTCCATTGCATCTTTGAAATACCTGATACATGATAAACTTTTTTTCTGAACCTAAGGCTCCTTCCAACTAAGGCTTAACTTAAAATGAATTTATCCTCTTCAAAAACTGTTTCTCCTCTATCCTTATCAAAAATTATTTCTCAATATCCTGCACTCTATCTTCCCAAGGTCAGGAGGTGAACCTGGTAACCTGTTCAGTCCTAAATCATTATCTCCTTGGTTACCTTGCTCACTCCTCACTACTGTCAACCCCAAACTCTCTGTCATTTCCAACCATTTACTGAAGGCCAAACCTTAGATTTCTGCTCCATTACAAGATCTGCCATCATCTTGAGAAAGTTCAGCCTGCACCCATCCTAATGCAAAGCTTCTTGATTTTCTCAAACTCAGTGACAAGCATTATTCTGCTTCAGCCATACCATTCTTATAAAGACAACCTTGTTATCATGCATAATTGTTCCACGTTTAAAAATTAAATTTAAAAAAATCTAACTTTTAAAGTACAATATCCTCGAGCCGGGGATTTAGCTCAGTGGTTCCGGCGCCTGCTGCGTAACCGCAAGGACCCGAGTTCAATCCCGGTACCAAAGAAAAAAATAATAAATAAAAAAAATAAATAAATAAAGTACAATATCCAATTTCCCCAGTGTTCTAACTCAGAGATTCCTATTTACCCGATTTTTTTTTACCTCATCTGACCGCTTATATCCTTTATCCCTCTATTTTTTCTTTTTTTTTTTTTTGCTTTGTTTTGTTTTGTTTTTTTGGTACCAGGGATTGAACTCTGGTCGTTGCGCTTGCAAGGCAAGCGACGGAACCACTGAGCTAAATCCCCGGCCCTATTTTTTCTATATATCAATTTATTTCCATCTTTTCCTCTCCATTTCCATCCTGACTTAAATGTCAGGTTTTAAACTTTACTACCTTCTGACTGATTTCTTCAATCTCATATTTTTAATTTTTTTATCATACTCATTTAGTAAACTCGAACTTTGAAATTAAAACAACATTCTACCTACTTCATCCTTATGCCAAAAGTGCCAAGTACTGGTAAAATAAATGAAATAAACCATGATTGTTTTTAGTACTTTCTTGCCAGTAAAAAAAATTTAAGGTGCTGAAATTCAGTTGGACCCTTAGCATTCCTTGACAAATGTTTGTTTCCCTCTGAGTATTCTACTTTCTAGATATCCTGAGTGCCTCTTTCAAATCTTCCCCATTTTCTTCAAATTCTGTCTTCTACTATTCCAAGTGCAGGCCCATTCCAGTCATCAGCCATCCATGTGATCCTTAATCACACAGTCATCAAGAAAGCAAATCAACTTCAGATTTGAACTATTTGATTTTATATATATATATATATATATATATATATGTATGTTTTAATATTCCCTTATTCCCTGACCACTTTATTTTAATCTCTCTGCCAATGAAATACACAACTGTTGAAAAATAACTACAAATCCTGGGTGTACAAGGACAATAAAACAAAGCAAATTAAAACTTTCTGCCACCTTTTCCTTTAAATAATGTGCTCATAGACTCAGAACCACTTATTCTATAGGTAGGTGAATGGGATAAAACTCACAGCAAAGAGAAGCTCTTGCTGGCCTTGCGGACAGAACAGGCCTTGGAATCTCCCTGTGAACCAGAGGCCCCTGAACTGGCTGGTTGAGCTCTTTGTTTATAGCAATAAAAGCTGTGAAGGAGCTCATGACTCCTGATTCTATGCTAATGTTCAGTACATCTTTTCTTTCTCTTGCTGATGTCTCTCTGAATCCCATATCTTTTGTCTGAATCAAGGATTTTGCAGCCAGACGATGAATGGTGAAGCTGAAAAAATAAATAAACACTCTGAGACTTAGCATAATACACCCACATAACAACTGCTTGGGGCTCTCAAAGTTAGGTACAGCAGAAGGAAGAAAATGTCAGAGAATGAGGAAATAAGACTTGAGGGACTTTGGAGAAACAATTTAGGCAAACAGTTGTTTTTCAGATTCAAGAGAAGAATCCAAAAAAAATAAAAATAAAAAAAAGGGTAGCATAGAAAAGAAGGAAATAAAAGAGAAAAAGAAAGGAAAATAATTGAATGCTCACTTAGAGTCATACTTGGGTTGTAGAGAAAATGTCACCTTTTGCTCAATACTTTTGCCTTGGAGTGTACACCTGAGGCACACTTCTCCTGTAGCTTCCTCTGGCTATAAATCAAAGAAAGGCAAACATGATGAAAAGGAGAGATATCCAGCAAAAAGTCAGAATTAGGGCAGCTCTCTAACTTCATACATACAATTTCTGACTAGAAATCAGATGGCCCTGAAATAATAAGGAAGATTATTATTAGGCTAGTTCTTCCTGGCAAGTACAATCCCTTGCTGAAATCCAAATCCAGCCTGCAGCATTAATGAAATTGCCCCAGCTGTGGTTACTCTAACTAGAGAGCAAAGAAGAGAGGGGACTCACCGGCACAATCCCGGTCAACTGGGCATAGAAAATTAACCTCTGACCCCTAAAAATGACAGTCTGCTCTGGTGAAAGCATGTTAGCAGTCAGATCAGGAGGCAGATCCCAGCTCAGGGAGATGTCTTCCATCACAGACTGTAGAGAACGCTTCAGGGTTCTAAGAGCCTGATGGAAGAAAACAAAATAAGCACAACATATCAGAATGACAACCATAGCTACTGTTACCTGTACCTAGGTTTTTATCAATTGCTATGTGATATAGTACACATTATGCCTAATCCTTAATTGCATACTGGGAAATTAGCCTTATTTCTCTTGCTTTGCAAAAGGGAAAGCTAAAGTTGAGAGGTTTAATGGCATCAGTTTGAATAAAGGAAATGTTAAAGAAAGGAGATCCCTGGAGAAGAAAATTAGGTAAGAGTTGTTATCAACTGAGAAAGAGGAGTTCAGAAATACAATCCAAGATATGCTTTCTTGGTGCCTACTAATAAGATAAAATAACAATTTGCCATTCTATCCTACCTAGTAGACACATCACATTTGTTTCTGTTCCTTGCCTTGTATCCTTTGCATAAGGCATAGACTATAATACCAAAGGAGATATTAAAGAAGAGACTCAAAAGTTCAGAAATGAAATCTAAAGTTCTTTGTCTATCCTCTTAAATACAAAAGCCTCAGCCTATTTCAGCACCTCTTCTCCAGATTTCCAGCTATTAGGGCCAGATATAATTCTCTAAGTGCTACAGTGGGGCCCTTTTCCAAAAGCATATAGGAAAATGGGAAAGCCCCACTGCAGGCTAAGCCCATGGGAAATGCATCCCAGAGTCAAGTTTTGCCTCTGCCTTTGTAACAGCATCCTAACCCTGTCTCATACTTGGTCTGGACTATCCATCTCTTGACCCACTGTATCCTGTCCCTCACCTTGTACTGCATCCTGTCCTTGCCTGTGATAAACTCTGAAGTGCCCCCTGATACTCGAGCAATGTTTTTTATTAAGCTGGTGGAAGCACCTTCTCCAATACCGAATGAGAAACATCTGTAATTGTAAAAAGATGGAGGTTAGAGACAGGTTCTCAAAGCAAAATTATCAAATTAGCTCAGAATGGGCAAACAAATATGATAAAATTGTTTACTTTCTTGACCAAAGCATAATAGCTTCTCTTTATTAAGCAAATTGTATATTTTATGAGCCATAATAAATGCCTTTAATCAATGATAAAATCATGAATGTGCTATGAGACAGGCTTCTGTTTCATTTTGTAAATAAGGTATTATAAAATGAATTTCAGAAAGTAGTCATGGATCACACCCCTAATAAATAGTAGACATGGAACTGAAACAATGGTCTCTCTGACTGCAAAACTCCCTCCAGCAAACCGAGCAAAAGACAGAAACTACCACTAGTGTCTGCCTGATGCTGTTCTGGCATTGTATTCACCCTGGCCTGGTCATTTCTAGACAGGAGAAATGTTCCTCCTGCTCTTCTAACTGGAAAGTTCTTGCCTCATTCTGCTCCATTTGCATCAAAATAGCTTTTTAATCATCATTTGGTTTAACAAATACAGTTGTCTATAAACAGAAAATCCATTGATGATATTAATATAAGCATTTTTAGAATGTAAGTCAGAAACATTTTGCATTATAATTTAATACAATGGAATTTTGGCTTATGGGTTAGTGTGAGAAATCATCCGCAAGTCTAGGGACTCCCACATTGGGTTAAACTAAACTAAGCTATATTGTGTTACTCTAAATTTGTAAGGGTAAGGACCAGATTTCTAATTGTAGTGGCCTAACCAGAGTCATATTTCCCTATAGAACATAGCCTACCAACATCTTTAAAATTCTGACATGATCTTTGAACTATAGCCTATGCTATAAAGTGCCTATGTAGTTTTAAAAATCCTTTTATATATAAAAAAATTGAAAAATTTTATTGCTGGCTAACTTTATGGTTAGAACCTCAATAAAGTGCTTGAGGTAGATGATAATAAAAACACTAATTACAAATTTTGATTTAGCACTTATTTTGTGTCCAGCACAATTCCTGATACTTTACTTAGTTTTATTTTATTAACTCTCAAAATAAATCCATAAGGTAAATATTATTAGCATCATCATTTTCAAACAAGAAAACTAAGACTTGGAAGGGTCAGTCGATTATTTCAAACATTTCGCAAGCAGAAGAGCTAAACCTTAAACGTAAGAGTTCTTAATAGATCATAATTTTATGGGATGTCATCTTACATGAGTTCTGCTATCAGCAATGCTAGACACAGTTATCTCAACCCAACAGAGAACTACAGAATGCAGACATAGTATTTTTAATATTTTTTTAACAGCAAAGGGCCACCAAGATAAGAAGCTGTAAGCTGAGGCTTTGGAGAGGAGGGAAGTGAGAAGAAATGGGCCTACTAATTCTCGGTGTCCACTTAGGCTTTGCAGCAAGTATCAAGTACAAATGGGTGGCTGAATATCTAAGGTGCTTCATAGAGGCAGGAGGGAAAAAGGAACAGTTTGAGTCTTTCAAAGGGAAGTTGTCCCTGCACCTCACATTTTTCAGATAGAATGCTATGGTCCTAGAGATCGAGTGAATTAGAAATATGCCAGCCATCACAATAACTGAAGTTCATAGGGCCAGAACTGCACTATGACTACCGGCTCATATTCTAGCAACTCACCAGAAACAAACAGTAAGACATCTCAGAGGTAAGATATCACTTTCACTCCGTAATGATTCATATAAAATATCTGAAAACTAGCCAAAAGAATAGAAAATCTTCAAACATTGGGAAATAAGGTTATATATTGGCAAGTAACGTAGACTTACAAAGGAAATCATAATAATAACTAGGGAATATCCTCAAATTGAAGCCAGTGAAAAAGCACATATCCAAATTTAGGATCGAGCTACAGACATAGCTCTAAAAATTCATTAGAAACAAAAAGTAAGTCTAAAGATCAACTACCTAAGTATTCATATCAAGATGTTGGATAAAAAACAGCCAATGCACCTAGCAACATTATAAGAAAGGAATGAAAAAGGTAGGAGCAGATGTTAATAAAATAAAAAACTATAAACTATACAGAATTAACAAACCAAGAAAAGATGGTTCTTTAAAGATTATTAAAACTAATAAGCTTCTAGGTCAAAGAAAGAACTAGAAAAGGCATAAATATCATCTGAAGTTAAAAGGTAACCTCACTGTAGATTCTGCAATATTAAATGATATATGACAATGTCACAAACAATTTAAAGCAAACAAATTTGAAAATTTAGGTAAGATATCCAAACTCACATAGAAATAAAATCATATAAAATATGAATAGTTCAAAAAGAAAAATTTTGTTTGAGTTTTCCAGGTCTAGAGAGCCCACTAGCAATGTTTTGTAAATATTTAAGAAAGAAAATCTTCCAGAATCTGGAAAGAAAAATGCAACTTTTACAACTCATTTTATGATGCAAGTGTGACCTTGATATCAAAATTTGGCAAATAATTATAAAAATATGCACTTATTTCCACAAAATCCTAAACAATTATTAGCAACTGAATCCAAAAATATATGACAGAGGTTAATACATCACAACCAATTTGGATTTCTTGAAGAAATGCAAGATAGGTCTAATATTTAATGACAACCATTATTTTTAGATAATAAAAGAATAAAGAATAAAATCATACACTTTTCCTAATGGATGCATAAAATCCTTTGTATGAAATCTAGCAATCACTCATAATTCAAATAAGAAAGGAAGAAAGAGAGAAAATTCTCAAACCACAAGATCCCTTTGATGTGTACGTGAAAAAAACCCAAAATCTGACCCCACCTCACACAATGCACACAAATAAATTTTATGTGTGTTCTATGTCTAAAGAAAAAAGAAAAAACAACAAAACTTCAAAATAACAAAAAATATCCTCATAAACTTAGATGAGGGGACTTCAATTAACAAGACACAATGAAAGTGCTAATGATAAAGAAAAAGAGTAATGAATTAAGTTAAAGCCAAGAATAACTTTTAACCAAAAGGTAGTATTTTGAGAGTAAAGACAAGTCATAGTGTAAAAACACATATTTCTAGACCATATAGTCAACAATGTGCCCGTAACCAAACCATAAAATGAATACAGATGAGTAGAAAAAGAAACTCAATCAATAGAAAAAATAAAAGTAGGAAAGATATTTGAAGTTACGTGACAAAATAAGATGTCCAAATGACTAATAAATATGAAAAAGTGCATGAAGTTGAGCTGCCAAAAAAATGTAAATTAACAATATAATGAGATACCACTTACTTCACATATATAAAACTGGCTAAAAGTTAAAGACATAAATGATACCAAATTTTGAATAAGAAATTAGGCAACTGAAAATCTTCAATAAATCTGGTGTGAATTAAATTATTATATCAACTTGGAAAATTACTGGCATTTCCCAGAATTCTATAACTCTGTCTACTCAAAAAATGTATATGTATTCAACTATGTATATAAAGCTATCCCATGGTATCCTTTGGAGATTGTTTCCAAGAAGACCCTATACAGATACCAAACATGAAGATGCTAAAGTCTCATATAAAATAGTGTAGTATTTTCATATAAGCTACACACATCCTCCTACAAAATTTAAATCATTTGTAAATGTATGAAAACTAATACAGTGAAAATGCTATGTAAAGATTGAATCAATGGATGCAGAACCTGCAGGTAAGTATGGTCAACTATATAAATATGCATGAAAAAATATATGTACAAAAATGTAAGAATGTTCATAGAAGCATTATTATTAACACTCAGGCCAAAGTTCATCAGCTTCAGAATCAATATAAATGACAGTATTATAGCATAGTCTTTCCACCAAACATTGAACACTAAAGAAAACTAACTATAGCTGAATATAAAATGTTTGCATAGCAACATACTGTTGAAAACAATAAAAAGCAATACTCACAAAAAAATACTGTATAATTCACTTGCTTTAATTTAAAATCAAGCACAATGCCTGGAGTTATAAGTCTGGAGAGCTACTCTAAGTGCATTGTAATTGAAGGCAGGGCTTAACAGAAAGAAGTCTGATAACATTCCAGCTCTCAACTTGTGTGAGAGTTGCACAGTGTACTTGCTATGATAGTTCATCTGGCTGGTTATTTATCATTTGTATAGCTTTCTATGTTTTCCTTTGTTAACTATGGTTATAATAAAATTTTTCAAAACACTAAAGGACAGGGAGCTTGCTGTGTTATTGGTGTTGTTTAGAAAAGTAGTTTTAACTACTGTAGGGAAGAATAAATTGTTAGCTAGTAAAATTAAAATTTTTCAATGTTTTTGTTCTCGGCAAATAAAATCAACACTGATACTAGACTTCAAGTGATATTACTAAGATCCGATCATCACAGGAGAAATCATGTTCTCACCATACCTGTGTTTCTTGCTGTTGAATTTAACTTCTTTAATTACACTAAATGTATCAGTAACTTCTCCATCTGTGAAGACAAAAAGCTGTACAGAGAAAGCCTCTGTCAAGTTCATTCTAAGTTACCAGAATTTGCCCTTGAAAACCCAGCTGTTTCATTTCAGATGTTCCAATGCCTCTTCAAACAGGACCCCTAGTATTCCATGTCACCTCACCATATTCCCACCAGATGCTCAGAACTCAGAATTTTCAGGCCCTCCCCACATTAGATCCCTATGAAGCATTTGTGGCCTCTACAAAAGCACTTCTGCTGTCCCTCACATGGAATTTAAAAAGAAGAAAATCTCTCCTCTTACTTTCTCTTTCTTACATGACAAAAGACTCTCAATTACAGACTCTCCCCAGTGAAGTTTAGGGACAAAGATTCTTGAGCAGTTTCCACTTTCTTTGTCCCTGCTGCTGGCTCTATTGTGATTCTTACCTGTAGGGGGTGACCAGGGATGGAAGGTCCCCTGAAAATTTTCTGGAGTGGTGTCAAGATTTCAGTGCCCCCTAGGTCTGCTTTCAGGAGCTGGACTCTCTCCACTGCCTCCTCCATTGTTTGCTGAGTGTACTTCACACTCTCCCTGAGAGAAAGGAACACACCTGGTTACAGGAGGACAGCTCAAAATTGCCCCTGTTGAGAAAATAATAATCCTACCTGCAATCACCAGTTCCCAAGTCAGTGCCTAGTAACACTTTCAACAATATTTATATATATTTGTAGGCTTTCTATGGCCTTTCCTTAGACTTACGGAAAGAATGCCTCAAAGGAAGATCCAAATCCATAGATGTTGAAATAACAGTCTAGCGGCAAACTCTTTAACAACAAAATCAGTGTCTCCTGAAGGTAAGAGAGAAGAGGGCACAGAGTGAAAGGACTCTCTCAGACTCCAACAGTCTAACTCTTGAGTGTGGGCTACCACTCATTTCATGCCCTTTCGATTTTAAGACTATCTGTATGGTGGTCATGCTGGCTATCACTCAGGTGGAGCACAGAGCTACAGCTCCAAATAGACCCTCCTAGAACTACTCAGATGCATCCCCATTTTAGTGTGTGATGCAGAAAGAAAGAAGACAATTTTACCTTGGCTGCCTCTATGCGCAGCTGAGACCTGTCCTGTTTACTCATAGGGGTGTCCATGCTTCCTGAGCGGTCCATGAGGAAGATGAATTCCCCACAGATCATTGATGTCTCAGTGTCTGGAATATCTGGGTAGAAACTCACCATGACGGCTGGATCTCCCATCAAACTATCTACACAGAAAAAATAAGGACCCTGTAAGATGAAAAGAACTCAAGAATTTTAAAGTTCATAGGAATCATTCTTTTTTTCTTCTTCTGTGTTCCTAGGGATTATATTACTTTTTTATTTTATTAGAAAATAAAAAAATTCATAACAAAATAATAAAAGAATAACAATAGTTGATATGCCATGTATCACTGTCTTCAGAATAGTTACTCAGAATAGAATACATAAGCCAAAAAGATTCTCAAAAAAAGAAACAGATAATAACACAAAACTTCCTTTTCAATGAACTAAGATAAACTAGTAGTATAAGTGAAATAAATTAGCATATATATTAAATATTTTTGAAACTACAGAATATGCAATTCGAGGAAGTATTTGAACTTCCCTCTACTTCCTATGTCTCTTGGTTTTCTTTAAACCAGTTATTCCAAGTTTTATTGATATGGGTCAAATCATTTCTCATACCAAGTTTTCCATAATCTGTCTGCCATCTATGTTGTGTCTGGGCTCCAAATGTGTAAGCCAAAGACTGCAATCATGGGTATGTTTCTGTCCATTTTGTCCAGTGTGCTGGGATATGGGGCAGAGAATTGTGAATAGAGTGCTCTCCAGAGAATTGTGAAGAGAGGATATTTGCTCCATAGGGTTTCTTTGGACTGGGTCTACCTTGTTAGAAGGGGTACACAGTGTTCTGCAGCAATTCTCCCTAGCATTCCTACACTAGTAGTTAATCAGAAAACTGGTTTTGGTCATCTTCTTGAAGTTCACTTATTTCTTCTTCCTCAAGAGAGGTGACACCATTGGCAGTCAAATTCCTCATGCCATCCAGAGCAGCTAGGTGGCACTGAATACAGGAATTGAAAACTTGAACTACATTTTGAGTACAAAAGCCTTTATGGAAATGTTTATCATCTTGGACCAAAGTTAGCCAGTACTCCAGCAATTTATCATATGTTTCCATGTATACCATGTCATCTTTATCAAGCACTTCTTCCAGTGCAGCACTTTGCCCAAAAGAACAAGTGAGGTGTGTGAGGCAGTTAACAAAGGAGGAGAGAATTTCACTAGGAATGGCAGTTAAAAAGTTTCGAGGGAACACAGTTATCACATTGCTAATAATGCTGGAGATTCCCACAGCTTCAAAATCTTCTATTTCAATTCCATTGATAGTATTCAGTAACCCTTCAATAAAGTGTGCTAGATAATCAACTTGTGATTGTCATCAGCGAAGACAGGTCCATGCAGATAGGCTAACTGGGCAAGGCACTACAGAGAATCCTGTGCCATCTTCTCCTGTGAATCCTGTGAATCTTCTCTGATTTTTCAATGTACTGTGAAGAAAAGTTCCGTAACTCTGCTGTCCAGAAGAGTCTCCTACCAGGACTCTGTTGGCTTCAATGGCACATTTTGTGAGGATTCAAACATCGCTATATAATGTCTGCCCAAATTTGGAAGAAGAAAGTTCCAGCTCAGGACTTGATTGGCCAGTGCAAGGTAATGCTGAAACACTGAGGACATCTGCATCTTGAGGTTTTCCTGCCTGCTGAACTCCTGTAGAACTTCAACAGTTAACATGAAGATCTGGTGAAGGTCTTCTTCCTGCAAAACTCTTGCAGTTACCATGGAATTCCATACTCTGTTCAGTGTTGCTAGTCTTCCTTGAACTTGAGAATAATGCAGTTAGAATAGAACCAGGCCAGTGTTTGCACAGTGGGATTGCCACTACTTATCACCTGGCTGACTGCACAAAAAATGCTTTTATAGTCAATAGATTTATCTAATGATCTTCATTTTACAATTACTGCTACTGCTAATAGAATCTGTTACCGAGCATACCTTTGAAGGTTGGGCCTCTGTAAGACATAGGTTAAGAGGAATGAATGTTCTCAGGGACTCAATGTTGCCTTTTTGCAAAAGAATCTACTCTCAGACTCCTGCCTCCATTATGATGGCTGCAGCTTGGAAAAGGACACAGTCCACTTTATTAGTTTCTGTTCTTTTTCTAATCCAGTGAACTTGCTCTAGCACCACAAAGAGGTTAGTGCCTCTCAGAAGACATCAGGCAGGTGGCAGCTAATCTCAGATCACAATTTTCACAAACTTTTCCTCTCTCCAACTGTTACTTCCACAGCAGGAAGAACCAAAATATGCTTGTACACTGCAAATGGTGATTTTGATTTTCAAAATGATAAGAATATGTGTTCTGCATGATGTCATTGTTCATTGACCACGGAAGGTGATGCCATCAGAATTTTGGCCGTGTTCTCCAGCTGAGTGATCACCTCTGGGGGCACCAGTGTCGCCTCCATCATGGTCTCTCTTCAATGATCCCCACTGCTGCATGGGATCGGGTGCCATGGGCAGCCAATCACCACCGCCACCCTAGATCCTCATGGGTTTCCGAGGCAGTCTGCTGTGGACGCTGGCTTCTGGGCTTTGGCGGGTGTAGCGGGGCAGCTGGGTCCTGGGCTGCCAGGAGTAAACAAGTAAGAGCCAGGTTGGCAGCATCCAGCATTGGGCTATCTCTGGCAGAAGGCCCAGAAGGCTGCTGCCACATTACCACACTGTCTGTGCTGTGTCTCTTCTGTTTTGCTCTGTATGTGTTTCTCATGTAAAAGAAACCACGTGATATGTGAGTTTGTGTGTCTGACTTATTTCACTTAAAGTTACGTTCTCAGGTTGCATTCATTTACTTATCAATGCCTCAGGTTTATTTTTCTTTATGGCAGCCTAGTATTCTATTGTGTATAAATACCACATTTTCCTTATCCATCCATCTGTTGGTGGACAAATATGCTGTTTTCCAAGATCTGGCTATTATAAACCATGCTCCCCGTACAGCTATTTGATGTTTCATAAAAAAGCCAGAAGGATGCTCTGGAAGAAAGATAGCCTCTTTAACAGACATTGTTGGGACAACTGGATATGCACACGCAGAATTTTGAGTCTAGACTCATATATTTCACCATGCACTAAACTAAAATCAAAATGGATCAAGGATCTACATGTTAAAACAGAAACAATCTGCTGGAAGATAAAATTGGTATAACTCTTGAAGATAGAGGCATAGGCCAGGACTTTCTGAACAGAACCACAATGGCACAAGAAATAATGCCGATGTAGGGATAGAGACCCTTGGGTAGGGAAAGAGGAGGGACTCCTCCCCACAAGGAGTTAAGACAGGTGGTTGAACAGGTTTAACCACCTGGAAAGAGCTGACACCCTCTGGTTGCACTTTATCTGTATGCTGTACCTTGCAAAGCTTGGTTTGCAAAAGTTAAAAGAAAAAAAATTAAACCTGACCCTGAAGTGTGAAAAGCCCCCAAAGACCCTTCCCTAGCCTCTCTAGTAATGAGCCAATCAACCAATCAAGTAGGGGCTCCCTCAGCCCAGAGACAGAATAGGGCCCCAACTACTACACAGTAATACCTCGAGTCCCCCTTCAACAGTGGCTCCATTTTGGGCACCCTAGCCTGTCTCTCTGAGAGAAGGCAGCTGTACTCTTGCATCCTTGCTGAATAAAAGTACAAACTTTGCTTCTACGCTTCTGATCTCTGATTCTTCCACAACCTTCTGCTTTGTTGGGAGAGTCAGGCCTGGGATGGTGGGGACTCTCTGCCCACAACACCAAGAAGCAACAAATGGAATCATATCAAATTAAAATGCTTCTGCACAGCAAAGAAAACAACCAACACAGTGAAGAGACAATATACAGAATAGGGAAAAAAATCACGTTATTCCATAGAGGATTAACATCAAGAATATATAAAGAACTCAAAAAAATTAGACTCCCCAAAATAAAAGACCCAAGTAAACAATGGACAACTGAACAGACATTTTTCAGAAGTACAAATGGCCAATAAATACATGAAAATATGCTTATTATTGTGGGTCATCAGAGAAATACAAATTAAAAATACACTGAGATACCATCTTTCTTATCCAAGAAAGAATGACTATCATCAACAAATCTAAAAACAAATGCTGGAGAGGATGTGGGGAAAAAGAAATTCTTCTACATTGTTGGTGAGATTGCAAACTAGTACAACCACAATGGAAAGGAGTGTGGCAATTCCTCAACAAACTAAAAATAGAAATTCCATTTGACTTAGCTATCCTACTTCTAGAAATCTTCCCAAAAGAGTCAAATTCATCATATTACAGGGACATATGCATATCTATGTTTATAGGAATCATTCTTAGTAAGTTTAATCAGGAACTAGAGAACCTCAAATCCAAAACCCTGTTCAATTCTATGCACTATCTGCTTGCAAAGGGCTTTCAGTGAATTATAAGCATACAACAGAGACAAAAGCAGAACAAATATGAAAGAAAATAAGAGGGTAGAAGTTAGCAGGCCCAAACAACAGAGTAGTGTCAATGGATGCCAATTTCCTGGCAACTCATTAAGTAAATGAGACACATTAAGTAAATATTTCCAGCATTATCCCAAAGAAGCAAATAAAATCAAGAGAAAGTTTATCACTGTTTAAATCTTTAATTTTCAACTTTGAAGGAAATGTTCATGTGTGTAATTTTTAAGCTGACAAATCTGAGGGACATTTATAAGCATTATACATGTGACATAATTACATCTGTTTTGGATATGCAGCCCTCACAGATACTCCCTAGAAGAAAGGGAAGCCCTAGGATTCTTTTTGATTTCCAATAATCTCATTCAAACAATGGGGTGAGTGAGTCCATGGGAGACTACTATACCTGGATAAGTTGTCAAAGTCATATCTGTGATCTTTGGAGCAAGTGAAAGTTGATACTAGAATTGAAAAATTAGTGTTGAGAAAGAAATAAAATAAGAATGACTGGGTTATATGAATTCTAGTGTTATAGTTCAGGGAATATAAAAGGATACAAGATCACATCCCATTATCCTACTTTTAGAGAGTGATTCCTGGATGAGAGGTTTAAATTCACAGTAACCCTAGGATTCAATAAGGGTACAGGATGGGGTTCAGTTTCATCTCATATACATAGGATGTAACAACAACCAGTCTATTTAAATTGGTCTCATCCAGGAAATATATGACAGACTATTCAATGAAAATGAATATTTACAAAATCCAGACATCTGGATACACAGTGAAAGAATAGCATTTTTGATGAGTTAAATAAAATCATTTCCATGCTGAGAGACAGATGCTTATAAAGGATCTAGCACTGTAATAAGCAATAAGAAAAGCTGCCACAAGAATTATATGAATTAATCTACACAGTGGACCCTTGACTGAAGAACTCAATCAGTTCCCGAGGGCTAGTTGTAACTTAAGTTGATTGTAAGTCAATAGAGCTGAGATCTGGATGTTTACCTGGATACATGCTATAGATAACAAGAGGCAGAAATAGGTCCATCAACTTAACTAACCCAAGTTGTTCATATGTCAGGCCAGTCGTAACTTGAGGGTCCACTGTAAGCCATTTGGAACAATACCATGTACATAGTAAGCATTGTTTCAACTTGTTAAGTCTAATTCAAATTATCTTCACTCACACAAATCTCAGCTTCATTTGATTCTATACAAAGTCTCTCAACCTTAGTTCCTCTACTTGCTTGAAAAGAACTAAGAATCAACATTTGTTTTCATCTAATTGTAATTATTAGACACATACTTCCTGTGTGTTTACATATTTTTCCTATTCATGAATTAGTTTTATAGGGGAAAACTGTATGTATTAGTTTTCTCTAATTTCCTATTCTTGGAGGCCTTTTCCTCAAGTTGCTTCAATCTTTTACTGTACATTATTTTAGTAACTGCATAATAGCTCATTAAGTTACTGATGGCATATTGAATTTAATCACTGTAAGGCATCTTGATTGTTTACTAATATTTGATATTAAAATAGCAGACCTCAGTGCATACTTTTAATTATATTTAGATTTATTTTCTAAGGAAATATTTGAAAATTGGAATTACCGGAATGAGTATTTTGACATATATAACTAAACTTTGTTGTAAAGTGTGACATCAAATTATTTTGCCTCAAGCGATTTGAGAATGTCACATCTGCCACACCTTCTAAGCCGTGAGAGATTATCAGATTTGAAAATTTTCCATTGCTTGAAAGTTTAAAAAAAGCCATGATTACATTTTATTTGCTTTTCTGTAGAGACCAATCACTGTCATATGTTTATAACTGACTGTATTTTCTCTTATAAATTATCTGTTCATTTTCTTTGCCCAATTATCTATTAACCTACTTAAATTTGCCTGTAAGACATAACAGTGTGATATTAATTTAAGCATTTTTTGCATGCTATTGGGTACACTTTTTAAATATTTCACGTTCATATGTTTTACTGCTACTGAATGAGGAGGGAAAAGGGGAGAATAATTTGAGGATGATTCCAAGACAGAATTACTTCCTAGGAAGTGACTACACAAGGAGAAAGAAAATACCTGGTTTCCTTTCAGGCATCGCCATCTCCACAGCAACACTGGGGCTGTGCACTGCACTGTAGTAAATAAGAAGTTCCATGTCCCGATCAAACTTGTGTCCTTCAGCCAACGAAACCTGATTGGGGACCAGCAAAGGAGCCACATTGGAAACACTACTCTTTGATTCCTGGGGCTGCAGTCAGAATTGAGTGCTGTAAGTTTCTTTCCAAAGTGAGTATGATCACGAGCAGGGATGAGAATACAGTCTGGGCATTGAACAGGGAAAAGGAAGGAACACAGTACATCTTCAGGGTTAATGGTGAAAAATAAGGAATAGATGGAAAGGGTTGGATGAGGACCACATCAAGACCTGCACAAGAGGAGCACTTGCAACAACAGTAATGTCTCATTAATTACCTGAGCAGAAGTCTTATCACCTTCAAGGTACTCCATAGGACTCAAAGCGCAGTTGGACTGGACCCTGTTGATTCCATGCTGAGAACTGATGGTGGCAACCATGGTGAGTGTGTAGGGCAGGTTCTCCAAAGGCACTATAGGAGTCTTCAGATCAAGGCAACTGTCCTCAGTCAGCCCTACAAAAATCACACTAATCCTATTTTCCTTGCCAACACTTTTTAACATATCTATAAACTTAAGGGAATTTCTCCAATTATGCCAGCACTTGGTATTCAAAAGAGAGGTACTCACCAGAGAGATGGTACCTAGGATTCAGGATAGCTGGGAGCACGTAGCGTAGAGCCCCGTCTGCTTCCAAGGGCAGCTCCTGCACATACCTCAGTGTTAGTGCCACCTTTGACCCTGGTTGGAGGTTGCCCACATTGCAACAGAAGACATCCCTGGAGGACTTATCCTCTTCCAGTAGATAAGCCTGGCAGCCCTGAGAGATGGCAACCTCATAGTCAGTGTGGGCCTGCAGAAAAATACCAACAGCAAGGAAAAGTAACATCAAAAGAAGAGATGAATACTACAGAAAACAGACCACTGGGGAGGGGCTGTGATGGGTTTTGTCACATGCACAGCTAGCCGTATTCTGAATGGCTCTAATAGATCCCCCACCACCACCAAATGATTTTAGGAAAATAACAATTATAAAGGAGTGGAAGAAAGACCATTCAACAGCAGAATGTTTTTGTGAGGTTTCATTTAGTAGAGACCCTAAAATGTGTATTATAAGGAAAGAATAAAGAGACACTGTATTTATCTCTAGTACCTTCATCTTGTCCTGTAACTCTGCCACAATTTTCTTCCCATCCACCAAGGCCTCAAAGGTATAGACAGCAGAATCTTCATCCATGGGGAAAACGAAGAAGGCCTCCAGAGCAACCTTTTCCTCATTCTCATAGTGTAAGGTTGCAGAAACACCAGCTACAAACTCACGGATGGACAGCGTCACAGAGATGTCCTTCAGGGCCACTGGAGAGAGATCAGGGTTCAAGAATTTAACAAGCTTTACTAGAGTTCCCCATGCAGGCCAGGAATTGTTCAAAGTACCAAAGATACAGTGGCAAGTAAAAGTCAAGAATCAGGCTTGCCTGGTTGATCTTGGTGAGTGAGCAGACCACAGGCACGCACCATGGCGAAGCAGGATTTCTGTGGAAAGATACATACAGCGTGAGCAGAGTGGCATGTTGGGAGCTTTCCATTCAAAGGCCAATAATTTACATGATTCTCTCTGGCATCAGAATGCATTCAGAGGGTTAGTGTTGGAGCTAGGAAGAATAAAGATGGAGAGAAGGAGACAACAATTTGGAAGGTTAGCTCCTAATGCCAGCCCCAAATAGGAAAGCTGCAAGATACACTAAATGTCCACTAACAGGAAATCTCCAAAACATGCTGTGGCTGCTCCCAACGACAATATTACTTCTTCAGCAGTGTTTAATAACCCACTTATCTTCTATCCAGAGAATCTACAGATGGATTTGATCCTAGCGAAGGGCCCTAATGCCTACGGAAGCTGCTCTGGAACAGTTTTGAACTAATCACGTAGCTAGCTTAACTCTCCCTGTTCTGTGACCTGCACTACAATCTCCAGCACCAATAAGGGAGCTATTCACCTTGAGGAGCACACTAAAGCAACATGACACCCATGTGCTTATTCACAGGCTCTGGATAGAGGAGTTATTGAGAACTCCACCCTTCCCTAATAGATCTGTAGGTCAGAAAAAACAGGAGGCCTTTGAGAAGGACCACTTTTTCTCCTAGAGCAACTCCACCCTGAGGGATTCTGAAGCTTTTGGCAGGACTATTTCTAGGCCCTGTAAGCTCATTACAACCATATTTAAAGCATACTTTATTACTGGGCCTGAAGGTCAGTTGTAAAACACTTGCCTAGGATGCATAAAGCTCTGGGTTCAATCCACAGCACAGAAAGAAGAAAGAAAAAAACAAGCAAACAAATATTTGACCCCAACCAAAAGCAAAGCTCATGCTAATTATCCATCTAGGATATCAGTGGTATTCCTGTACACCAAGCTCTATTCTCACAAAACCACACCAACAAATTAGGCTCATCATTGTACATCTGCCATTTAGAACAACTACATGAAAATTAAATGTGCTAAAATATCTCACATTTTCGCAACAGTTGAAGGGACAGAAGACTGCATAGAAAACAGAAGACCGTAAGTGTGGCAAATTCTCTCAAGAAAAACAGGCTGTGAGTAGGGTGTCAAAAAAAATCTCTAGTACTACCAGGAGGGAGCTTAAAGCAAGCGACTCACACAGGAGCGAAACAGCTGAAGGACTGTGTCAGACAACCAAAGCTCTCAGGCTGCCCCATACTCACCAAGGTGGCTGTGAGAAAAGAGAGCAGTAGATAGCATCCCCTAAAAAGAAACAACCTTATTTTCCAGAACAAATTCCTCGTCCAGAGAAACTTGCTATGCTGCACCCTCTGCCCATCCTTCCTCAGTACAGAGCTGGACTGGGTCAGAATTCTGTTCTGTTCTAGGTGTTCTTCAGAAAAGCACCTAGGAAAAGAGGGTAAAGACTGTCTATGGCAGCTCATCAAGCTCAAAACCTGCACCTGAGGCTCTCTGGGAGGCTTCTCACTGGGACAGCGAGCTATCTCAGGCGGACACTCAGGATCACAAGAGTCCTGCTCAGAGCCACTAAGCTGGAGCCACTAAGCTGCAGGTAAGAAGGAGAGGGTAGCACAGTGGGCCACACCCCTGCACCTTGTTTCAGGGCAGGAGTGGAGAGCCTAGGATCTTTCCAAGGAGGAGATTTGGGGTGCACAGTGTGGGTTGCATAGAAACAGAGAGTAATTTAATCTTCAAATATTCAGTCCTAGATTTGTACTGCATGCGTATTTACACAAGGGACAGTGTAAAGCTCTTAAAATGCTTTATAGAAAGATTTATGGGCTGCGATCGATTGGAGTAGAGGCTTAAAGCCATATTTTCACAGCACAAACCTATAAAATCAGTTGCCTGAGAGTTAAAGAGGAGGAAAAGTTAAAGTGAAGAATAATTAGGAAAGGGGCCCTAAGATCCTTAGAAAATAGTTAAATGCCCCCTCAAACCCCGACATGATCCTCTCTACTGCCAAGCCTGTGGACAACCTCTGGGATCACACACCAGGACTAAATTCCCCACCTGTTCTTAGAACAAGCTCCAACAGAGGAAATGGAGGCAGAATGTGAGGCTCTCCCTCGCCCATCACCCCTCACCCCTCACCCCAGTGCCAGCAACAGGGTCACTTACCTTCCCCTGATCCACAGCTCTCCCAGTCACTGAAAATGAAAACAACTGTAAACACTGTTTCCTGGAAGTCCCACCCCCTCCTAGGGACCAGTTATAAAGTAGCAACTGTATGACTAAGGGACTGGTGGAAAATTCTTAAACAAATAGTGCAACTTCCGCTTTTCTGTGGGTAGACAGAAAAGTCTTCAGAAAAGAACATTTACTTTTTTCTTCTGTCAGGTCTGGCAAAGGAACAATTAGAGGATCAGCAAATGAAAGGGATGTGTTTTGCAAGTGAAAATGCTGCAGCAGTAACACCAAAAATGATACAAAAAACTGCTCATTTCTTTAACAGCCTTTCCCCAGGGTTGACAGTGTGGTAGACCCTGGTAATAAGACATGATGGGTATTTTGGCTCCTTATATTTAATTTGAATCTTCTATCCTCTTCTATCAGCAAGTTATACCCAAAGCCAGAGCAACACATGCACTTTTGCTTTAATGAGACCATATCTTTTCACTAAGGACAGAATTTTACAGGCCTAGGTAATCTCCGAACATTTCATCAGGGCAATAAAATGAAATGTTTGAGGTAACAATGTATCTGAAAGTAGCTGTGCTGATTTTCCTGGCTAAAGATCATGAGACATGATTGTATCTCTTGTATCATTTGTTTCACAAGAACTATTAAATCTAGGATTTAAGGAAAGTTTTAACCACTTTTGAGAATTTATGTAAAGAATATATGGCATGTATGTAAGACTCAGCCTGATTGTGTTTCCTACGCTATATTTGTTGAGGTAATTATTTCTCCCTAAGTTGTCTGTTCTTGATTCTGTAAAAGGAGGGCAATGACATACCTATCTTGCTGATTGCTTCTAAGAACTAATTGATCTTAACAGATGTGAGAGTATGTATATCTATAAATATACACATAAGTACACCCACATGCACATCATATACACATATATAGTAAAGAAAAATATAAGCATTATTGTATTTTATCAATACTAGGATCTATTTTTATATGTACTAAACTAATTGTGAGAAGGAATGACTCATATCTAGTATTTCTCATTGCTATCATTTCCTTTTATTAGCTGATATATCTGAGCACCGAAAGGAAGAAGCTGTAAAAGTGAGCAGAGTTCATTACCTAATCTAGCTCAATTAAAAGCTTAGAAATAGAAGTCAGCCATATGTGGTCAGATGTGACAGTTTGGCAAGAAGTAATTGAATCACAGAAAGCGTATGCTGGATATGTGTCAAGGACAGTTATATAGGAAAATCCCCTTACTCTGGCACAATATACACAATTAAACAGACCTTTCTAGTTATTAAGGCATGGATGCATTTTATTTATGTGCTTGTTTATATGCTGTGTTTAAACATGTTAGATAATGTCATTCTTTTCATATAAAATATTTAGTGAGTCCAGTAATTGAAATTTGGAATGAGAAATATATTGTTCATTATTTTAGTTAATAAATTTATGTGCAAGGCATTATTCTGCAAATTGGCATTGTGACAATAAACAATACAGAAAAAATCTTATCCCCCTAGGGCTTACATTGTAAGAGAAGGAAGTATTCAATAAACAAATAAGTAAATAATACTATATCTGGTAAATTGCTGAAAGAAAACAAAATATCATCAAGCATTTCTTTTTTTCTTTTTTTCCACTCAGTTTACTGGTACATTTTAGGTATACAATACAGTTACATTCATCATCGGGATCTTGTATCTTTTACATGTTGAATTTTGGTTCTTATTTTTTCCCCATTCCCCTGCCTTCCCTTCACCCCCTCCATCCTTCCCTATTTACAAAGACTTTATTTCCATGTTTTTCCTTTTCACATATTTTTTCTTTTCCCTTCTTTCCTTTCCCCTACCCCTCCCACTTCCCCTACTCCTTTAGACATTTTCTTCCTATTTCACAATATCAATTATACATTTTGATTCTTATTTACACTTTTAGTTTTTCACACCAGAGAAACTATCATGAAATCAACCAATAACAAATGCTGGCAGGATTGTGGAGAGAAAGGAACCCTTCTTTATTGTTGGTGGGAGTGCAGACTGGTGCAATTACTGTGGAAATCAATATGAAGATACCTCAATCAACTAGGATTGGAAGTCCCATTTGACCCAGCTGTTCCTCTACTGGGTATCTTCTGAAAAAAATTAAAAGAATCATACCACCGTGATATATGTGCACCCATGTTTATAGCAGCACAGTATGTAATAGCTAAAACTTGGAAACAGTCCAACTACCCATCAGATGTGGGTTTTTCTATAAAATGGAGTACTACTCAACCATAAAGAATGAGAAACTGGAGACATTTGTAGCTAAGTGGATGCACATTGAGGCTATACTCCTAAGTGAAATAAATAGGACACACATGTGTAATCATCAAGCATTTCTTAACTATGAAACATGTCCTGCAGTAGTGCTCATGGATGATCTCTTCATTGCGTGAACATCACAGAGTACACATACACACACTGAGCTGGTGCAGGTCAATCATTCTTCCTCCTGATGCAAACAAAGGATGTACGTATGAAGTTACTGTTGGCATAAATAGCATATTGCTAATCAATTTCTTTTTCATAAACAGAAGGACTATACCCTAAAATGATAAAGTAGTGGTGTAATAAATTCATAAATCAAAACATAATTGTTTATTATCAATACCAATTATAATGAACCCAACATAATTGTATGTGGTACACTTGTGTGTGACTGGCAGCCCAGTAGGTTTGTTTACACAGGCACAATCACAAACATGAGATGAATTGTGCTTGACATAATGACAGCCATGACACCACTAGGAAATAGTTTTTCCGCTCTATGACACCTATGGTACCATCCATCATCCTATGTGTGGTCTGGTCAGCCCTTGAAAGAGATGCTTTTAAGTACACAGTACATGACTGTGTAGTAAAATACAGAACAAATAGAAGCTAGTTCACATTTGGTAGCTCTACCGAAAGATCTGTCTTTGTCACTTAGCATTCCTGAATATTTCCCAATATTGATTCTCAGCTTCTTTTCATCCCAAGATGAGCCAAGTCTGGCTATTCAGAAAAAAGGCACCTTTCCTAGCCTCCCTCAAAGCTGAGTGAGTTCTGGCCAACAAGAAACAAGAAACAAGTGAGGTAAGGGAAGAGGCAGAAACTGCAAAAAAAAGACAGATTTGGCAGGGCCAGTCCCTGAGTTCTACAGATAATAAAAGGAGTAGATGAGATTATTTACCCAAACCAGAAACATAGGTTGATCAGGAGGGATTCATAAGCTTTTGGGTAGCCAATTCCTTTAAAGATTACCTTGATTACTTTGTTCTATTTTGTTATTTCAAAACCCACTCAATATTCACCATTTAATTGCACCTTAGGCTCAGAAGGCTCCTGCTCCCTGATATCCTGCTCTGGGTATCAGGGATGGGGCTCCTGAGGGACCATGAGAGCATTTAAAACCCCACAAAGGTAGGAGATAATTGCACTTCCCCTGCCTCTGAGTTCACCCTAGGCGACAGGGCAGCCAGCAGATGTAGAACATCCTCTTCCTGTGTGATTGTAAATGAAAAAGACCACTTCCAGTCTGAAGCCAGAGAATCCAAGCCCAATTCAATGGCATCAAGGGAAGAAGAGATATTTAGGATGGAGATCTCCAGAACTCTATAGAAGAAATTGAAGGCAAAAGGGGAGAGAAAAGAACTTTTCCTTCTCAGAGTCAGCCATGACCCCTTTGACCATGTAAGTGCTCTGAACTTCTCCTTCATCTTTGTCAGGTTTATTTCTTGACGTGGAGAAATGAAAATCTTTATGAGATGAAGATACATAAATTATCCTGGTTCTCTGAAGAATATATATATTCTTCTTGAATAGCTCCCTTTCTTTTTCTTTTTTTAAAAAAAATATAGTGTTTCTCAAGATTTTTTCACCAGTCCCATGTCATCCTGGCTTGACCCTGTCTCTCCAAGTGATCTCATTTGTGCTTAAATAAATTGACTGTCATCTCTATGCAAGCAAATTATTAAATTCATTAGCATGGGACTCCCCAGAATAATTACAACAATGAATAATCACATTATTATATACCAAAATTTTCAGAAACATGATATTTAATCTTTATAATAATTCTGTGAGGTGAATATTTTCTCACCTAATCAAAAGCAAACATTTAATGGATACACAGTATTTACCAAATACAACCGCATCAAATTTCATTTAATCACATGAGCACAATTGCAGTGGAGCTTGTCAAAACATAGATTTCTGGGAAACAAATGAAGAATGAAAAATTAAGAAGACTATTCAGTGACTTGGCAGGAACTTTTCTATTTTACCTCTTTTGTCCTGGCTTTGTTGATAACACTCTGTTTCCTCTCAAAAGTAAACAGGCCTAATTAGAATGATAACTTTTATAGGAGTAGTTGAGGTAGAGACTGCTGAAAAAGGAATTCTTTCCACTTCTTTGCAATGAAAAACTAAGGTTTGGAGAAACTGAGTTTCTGAAAACACTAGCCCATAGTCGTACCACCGAAAATCAGAACTTGAACTTGGGGCTTTAGACATCTAGTTCAAATTCTATTAACTATGCCATGTTGTCTCTTTGCTAGACAAATGTGTGGATTTGAGTTCCATCTTCTAGGAAAGCTGCAGCTACTTGCATTATCTATGCGCCCTAAACTATTACTTGAATTATCATTCATGGTCCCACGTGTCTTTGATGCCTATAAACCTATCTGGTGATGCTTCTAGGAATGGTAAGAAATTTGAATGTCTAATATGTAAACAACAGCACTTGAAATTATAAGGACAACAATAGTTTTTAAATGATGGAAAATAAAATCTCAATCTGAAATAGTATTACTTTCATATTTCCTATAAGTTTTATTTGCTTTGAATTTTAGTGCTTACCTTGTTTATCACTAATATCATGTATTAGCATAATTCATGTTTTACTGTGTTTTCAATGGTTTAGAAGAGTACTCACATATGGGCTGTGAGGGAAGCAGTGGATATGAAACCATGGCCCCTAATCTTCATCACAGATTATTTTTGCATTGCAACAAAATTTAACAGTCTGCATGGAAACCAAAGGTATTATCTAAACACTGCCCCAAATTGTGTTATTTTGTTGTGGCTATGCTCATGCTAATACTAAACCATTAAGAGAGTGTTTGGCACTTGCCTATGAAAGGGGTAAATAACCATTGCTGAGCACCTGTGAAGTGTCAGACACAATATTAGATGTCTCTTGAAACATTCTACTGCTGAATCTACCAGACAACTGACAGAATGAAACGCTATTCTATTTCAGAGAAAAGTAAACTGAAAGTAAAACAAAGTCACCAATTAAGGACCAGCTTAGATTTAAAAATATGTTTGCGTTCCTTAAAAATCTTTCTTTTCTTATCATAATTCTCTCAATGTCTCCTCTCTTCCAAGCTTCTATTATGAATGTAAATATATTTAATCTTTATAGCAATTCCAGGAGGGAAATATTATCTGGGTTCAATAAGAACAAGCATTTAGTGAAAATCCATGAGATTCCAAACAATCATAGAATGATCCTACATTTTTAATGATATTTTCCCATTTGTTTGATCTCGATTTCCAACACTCAACCACTTCTTTATATTTTCCCTTGCATTTTCACAGTTTAAAATTGCCTGTGTCATCCCAAATTTTCCTGTACCATTTTTTAAAAAGCCATTTCAATCAGAGTGTGTTAAAACACCTACATGGCGGTCATTCTGCTCCTCTCTGTTCAAGACAAATTGTTTGGAGGCCTCCAAGACTCGCCCTTGAAGAGACAGTTAATCCAGATCGCTGCTGCCACCCAGTGTCCAGACACTGTTTTCACTAGTTTAGCACATACAACCGGGCTCCACACTTTCAAATCCAGATGACTCTGAACAGAAAATAGACAAAAGTCTGGGAAGTGAAAAATATTGGCTTCATTCCAACAAGAAATCCGAAAGAACTCAGACTCAAAGAATTATATTCATTAAAAAGAGTTTCTATAAACCTGATGCCATAAGACAATAATAAAATAAATCGACTTCATTAATACATTGATAACATTATTCTGTAATTATAGTATTAAATAAGATGCATGGTCTAAATCTAGTACTTGAGGTTGTATGGATGTTTTTGACCAATTTCAGATATTTTTACACTGATTCCCTTTCACATGCTTTTTTATCATTATAAAAAATTCCATTAATCATATCTTTTCTATTTTCCCTCTACTGTACTTAAGAAGGTGTATTCTCTTTCCTTAACTCTTTACTGATCCTACATTTTATATTTTTGCCCAGAAATATACAATTATCAGGTACTCACTATTTTGAAAATGTTCAACACTCTGTCTATCTATGCTATGTCAACAATAGTTACTTTAGCTGGGCATAGTGGCACATGCATGTAATCCGAGAACTCTGGGAGGCTGATGTAGGAGGTCACAAGTTTGAGCCTAGCCTGGGCAAGTTAGAAATTTAGTGAGAGTCTGCTTCAAAATGAAGAATAATAATGATCTGTGGTTGTTGCTCAGGAATGAGGCTCTAGGCTCAATCCCCAGAGTGGTTTACAAAAATAAGGAATACATACTTTATATTTCACTAAATGTCTGAATTTCTTTCATTAGGCATGGAGTATAAAGCCAAAAGCAGGCTTAGTGCAAATATTACTTTCTGGAGTTAATTTCAAAAGGGGATCAGAATAGCCTGAGAACAAAAGCAATCATTTCAGGGCAATTGAAAATTTGATTCAAATAATAAATAGTGTCTTTATTGGGTGTTGCTATTTCCTAAGTCATAGAGAGACAGTGATAATTACACAAAGACATGGTACCATCATGGAACTTACAGTCAAAATATATCCATAAATTAATCTCCAATTTTTCATTTATTCATATATCAAGTATTTAAATACCATCTGTTCAACAGAAACTGTGATAAACATTGCAAACCCAAGGACAAAATATGGTCTTTACTATATTTTAGAGATTTGATAGTTTAATAGTATTGGGACACAATTCCACAAAAATTCCATGTATATATGTGGATATAACTTACCTTACTACTACCAATTTTCTAGAAAATAAAATTATCAATCAGTAACTATTAACTATAAAAGAGATTTGGAAAAATTGACCAGGAATTATAATTAGAACCCAAAGCATTTACAATTGGGCAATTTTTATATGCTTTGTATTTCTGGAAACTACAGGTCATAAAAGTAAAACTATAATTGAGAATATCACTTCTTGGATGATTGAAAAGAACCTTTAAATGAAAGCATTGCAACAGACAACTGACCACAACACACCACAGAGGTAGTTTTGAGTTCTCAGCATATTCAGGTAACTGCTTCACTTAAAATAAGACAATTAGCACAGAGAAGATTGCTTGGTGGTGTCTAGAGGCAAAAGAAAGAGAGAAAATATAATCTATTGCTCTAATCAGGGGTACAGCTGCTCAAGTTGACTTTTGATGAATATTTAAGATATTTGATGCATTCATGTTATACAATGGGCTATGGACAATAATTAAGTTATGTTTATCTGTTTAGTATTGTGATCTTTACTTTCTTACACCCTCCAGTATTTAATGATGTTAGGTTTTATTTTGTTTTGTGTGTTATCATGTTGGTATACTATACCTCAATATATGAAGGCATGCATATGTTTTGTCAGCCTTGACGTATCACTGGTAGTTTGAAGGTCCTACCAAAGGCATGTAGAAATGTAACACTCATTTTGAGGTAATAAGAGGTTATACCAGGTAGGACCTTGAACCAATCAGGTCATGAGGGCTCTACAATCAAAAGTAGACTAATCCATTCATGGAATAATGGATTAATGGGTGAGTTTATTATGTATTTGGCTCCTTCTCTGATATGTACCACTTCTCCCTCATGCCTCTCTCTGCCTCCAGACTCTGCAGGGAGCCCTATCAGCAAGGAGACTCTGAGCAACTGTGGCCTCCAGCCTCCTATCCTCCAGAACTGTGAGGTGAATGAGCTTTTATTTGTTTTACTCATCCAGTTGTAGGTATTATTTTACATCAAGAAACATACGGAAACATCATCTTTATGTTTGTACAAAGTGTGATGACTGCCTTCACATTCATGTTGGCTTTTATGTTGTTTCTATCAAGATCACCTTCCCAGGAATATGAGAAACCACACACTTCTGGATGAGTTCATTCTACTGGGAATACCCCAGACAGGGGGACTGGAGCCTGGGCTCTTTGTCATCTTCTCCCTCATCTACCTCTTCACGCTGCTGGGAAATTCACTCATCTTGACTGCAATCATATCTTCCTCTTCCCTTCACACCCCCATGTATTTTTTCTTGGGACTTCTCTCAATTTTTGACATGTTGTTCCCATCTGTAACCTGTCCCAAGATGCTGCTTTATCTCTCTGGGCAGAGCCGAGCCATCTCTTATGAGGGATGTGCTGCACAACTCTTCTTCTATCATTTTCTGGGCTCCACTGAAGGATGCCTCTACTCTGTGATGGCTTATGACCACTTTGTTGCCATCTGTCACCCACTAAGGTACATGCTCATCATGAAACCTGAAGTCTGTGTCAGCTTGGTCACAGTAGCCTGCTTGATAGGAACCCTTCTGGCCACAACCCTGACCTCCTTCACTTTTCAGTTAACCTACTGTGGTCCCAGCCAGGTGGACCACTTCTTCTGAGACATTCCTGCGGTTTTACCCCTGGCTTGTAATGACAGCTCCTTGGCCCAGAGAGTGGGTTCCATTAACGTTGGCCTTCTGGCTTTACTGCTTTTACTCAGTGTTTGTGTCTCCTACAAACACATCGGGATTGCCATTCTGAGGATCCGTTCAGCAGAGGGCAGGCGGAAAGCTTTCTCCACCTGCAGTGCCCACCTCACTGCAATCCTCTGTGCCTATGGACCTGTAATCATCATCTATCTGCAGCGCACTCCCAACGCCCTGCTTGGTGCTGTGGTACAGATATTAAATAATATTGTTTCGCCCATGCTGAACTCATTAATCTACTCTTTGAGGAATAAGGAAGTGAAAAATTCTCTGAAAAGAGTGTTCCCAAAGTTTATACTTACTGTTCTTGAATAAATTATGGAGTTTTAAATGGATTTAAAAAGACTTTGTTCCTTTTCCAGCAATATCTATTTCTTTCTCTTAAATAAATAAGCGCATAACAGAAAACATTTCCTCTGAAAGCAATGTGTTTTGTTTACCGGTAAGATTTTCTGTGTTGTTATATCTCTGTCATACCCAAGACCTCCTAATTAACACTAACATACTCCCCATTACTTTATCCTGGGTAAGGAATATAAAGGGCATAGTAAGCTACCAGAGGCAGATTTCTTGTCACTGCAATGGGCACTCAGTTTTGCCTGGTTGAAGAAGGAAGGACCTGTGTTCCTTTGAAAGTCCCTCTGTGCCCAGAGTCAACCTTTGTTTCACATTTCTGTTCCTTAGAAGGTAACTGCTCTTCTTTTTTGCTTAGAAGCATTTCAGTTCCTCTATTTCACATAGTATTAAGTAATATTTACAGAGCATGTTCTGTCTTAGAGGCATTGTTATGAATATTTCAAACTTGTCATCTTATTTAATCTTCATATTGCCCCATAATATGTATATCTTATATTTTTATATAAAAGAACTTTCAGAATTAGAGGCTTCAAAAAACAGAATTATTTGCACATGCTTCAGTAAATCCTGCCCCGAGCTACAACGCAATTGATGCCAAAGCCCCTGCTCTTCATCCCTCTTCTATATGGTTGCCCTGTGTGGCTTGTTTTGGAGTTTATGACCCATCATTACCTCTCTCTAGAGGTCATGATACAAAATTCTTCAGTAAATACCTGGAAAATGAACACTAACATAGGTCATGTATATACATTGGCCTTAATATTATTTATTCTATTTTACCAAAGGCCCCCCCATGTTATGGAATACTTGCTTCCCCTATGTGACATATCCAGTGATAGTAAAGCCAGGCCTTGTCTCAACCCTCTTATCTCCTACTTGGTCATAGTTTTCCTCCGGCACTACAGTGCCAATATCCCAAATCACTCTCCTGTGTAAGAGCAGTGGGAAAGCCTTTCCATACACTGATGTGGAAGAGAAGCCCACTTAACATCCTTATTTCATTTCCTCACCAAGCCTCCATGGCTAACTCTGTGACAGCTCAGCTAGTCTGGCAAGTTGATTGGCTTGAGAGCTGCTGAGGGCATTAGTAAAACATGTTTCTCCATGTGTCTGCCTGGGTCATGGAGGCATGACTGGGTTCCATATATCCATATCTGTTTCCTAGCCCCTTCCTCTCTGGTGCCGGCTCCCATTCTGTTTCCCAGCCGCTATGCATTGCACTACTACATGCTTTTGTCATTATTCTTCTGCCTTGGTGCCAGCCAACCATGAACTGAATCCTATAAGACTGTGAAATAACCATTTCTTCCTTTAAGTTGTGAATGTCTGGTGTTTGAACCCAGCAAAGGCTCCCCAAAAGACTGGCATTGACAATTGTTTCTGTTTTATCAAAACCTAAAGAAAAGAAAAAAAGTGCCATTTACTGAGGATTCCAAGAGTACACCAGTTCTTTATTTCCATAACACTTCAGTTATTTGAGAATTTTATTCTGGTTTTAGTCCCAAATTTCCATCCTATTTGAAACCATTAAAACAAAACAAAAAAGTAGAAATCTCAAATAAAACACAAGGCTTATTTTACTAAATCATGAATGAGACAAAAAGAACAGGCTAACAAAAATCCAAGATCACTCAGAATCTCATTCCTATTCTTTGGAGGTGTCTATCCTCTATGATATGCTGGATCCAAATAATTCAAATATTAGGGTTTTTTTCTATTAATGTTGGATCTTTTTGGAAGAATCTACTTGTCATAATGTCTGGTAAAACCTAGATAGTGTTGATGGACATATATTCATCACATGGACACTTATTCAACAGACTTCTATCCTAGACAATGGAAATTTCTGTAAGAGGAGAGATTGTGTTTGTCTTATTTACTCCAATATCCAAAAGACATAGGCCAGTATAAGCAACATAGGTCTGCTGACTTAATGAAGCAATACCATTCTGTTGTTTGCTAAGGTTTGGACACAGTTTGTCTTCCAAATGTTTCTGTGCTGGAATTGTGTCTCAAGTGTACCATTGTGGAAAGTTTGATCATGAAAAAGTTGACCATGTTAATATTTTTACACTGCATAGTCACTGTTTTAGGAAATGGAAGTGGTTTCCAGGGACTGGGGATTTTTTTGTAGGAGGATCTAGGGAAGACAGGTCCCTGTTTAAATGTTACAGAGTTTCAATTCTTCAAGTTAAGAAAGTTCTAGGGACTGAGATGTAAATATATTTAATATTACTGAACTGTATACTACAAATTAGATGTTAACATTTGCCTTTGTGTATTTTATCCCAATTTTTATAAAAAGGCTGCTTATCCAGTTTTCACATATCTTACAGTCTTTGACTTTGCTAGTTCTCTTTACAATTATATCTAGTTTTAACCCAGTCAAATCACTTTATCTTAATTTTTATTTATTTTTATTTTTAATTAATTTTATTGGTACAATTTAAATATATATAATGATCACATTTGTCAAAGAGAATTTGTACTTGTACATGATTTCTTTATTTTCCAATCACTTTCCCTCCCTTCAACAGTTGCTTCCATTCTTTCCTTCTTTTCTCAATTTTTTTCCCTTCCTTTTCAACCCTCCTTCTTTCACAGTTTCCCTTTCCTTTGGAACAGTTTCTTCTTATCTCATATTATCTATTATACATCTTGGTCCTTATTTACCCTTTCAATTTCTCACACTAGAGAAGCAATGCAATATTTATACATATGTATCCAATTTATTTCACTTAAGAATATAGTCTCAAGTTGCATTTAGCTATAAATGTCTTAAATTTATCTTTCTTTATGGCTCAGTAGTACTTCATTGTATAAAAAAGACATCCTTTTTTATCCATTCATCAGTTGATGGGCATTTGGGCTATTTCCAAGATTTGGCTATTACAAACTGTGTCACGATAAACATGGATGTGCATATAACACTGTGGCATGATGCTTTTAATTCTTTTGGGAAGATACCCAGCAGGTGAAAAGCTGGGTCAAATGGGACCTCTAATCCTAATTTTTTTGAAGAATCTTCACACCAGTCTACACTTCCACCAAGAGTCGAGAAAGGTTCTTTTGTCCCCACAGCCTCTCCAGCATTTGGTTGGCTGATTTCTCGATAATAGACATTCTTTTTGGAGTGAGATAGAATCTCAACATCGTTTTAATTTTCATCTCTCAGATGACCAGTGATGTTGAACATTTTTACATATATTTGTTTGCCGTTTCTACTTCTTCATCTAAAAAGTGTCTATTCATTTCAGATTCATTTTTGATTAGGTCTTTAAATTTGGGAAGTCTGAATTTTTTCAATTCCTTATGTGTTCTAGATATTAGTCTTTTATTTGAGGGACTACTGGCTAAAATTTTTTCCCACTCAATGGGTTTTGTCTTCACTCTGTTGGTGATTTCTCTGGTGATTTCTTTTGCAGTCCAAAAACATTTTAATAAGATGAGATCCCAGTTGTTGATTCTTTGCACTATTTTCCATGCAGTTTGGGTTTTGTTCACGAAGTTCTTGCCTGTCCCTATGTCCTCAAGAGCTCTACCTATTATCTCTTCCAGCAGATTTAGTGTTTCTGTTTTAATATGTAGATCTTTGATCTATTTTGACTTTAATTTAGTGCATGGTAAGAGACATGGGTCTAGTTTTAATCTTTGGCATGTAGAAAGCCAGTTTTTCCAGCACCACTTTTTAAAGAGGCTATCCTTGCTCCAGTGAACATGTTTTGCCCCTTTGTCAAAGATAGGTGGCTGGGTGTGTTTGGTGTTTTTTCTGCCCCTTCTAATCTGTTCCACTGATCCTCAGGTCTGTTTGTTTTTTGGGTTTTGTTTTGGGGGGGAGGGTTTCCAGTACCATGCTGTTTTCATCATGGTAGCTCTGTAGTATAATTTTAAGTCAGGGATTGTAATGCCCCCTGCCTTGCAATTTTTATTCAGAATCATTTTTGCTGTTCTAGGTCTCTTCTGGTTCCAAATGAATTTTAGGAATATTTTCTCCAGTTCTGTGAGGTGTGCCAATGGTAATTTGATTGGAGTTGCATTACATCTGTGTAAAAATTTGGGGAGTATGGTCATTTTCACTACGTTGGTTCTTCCTACCAAAGAGCAGGGGATATCTTTCCATCCTCTGACATCTTCTTCAATCTTCTTCTTCAGAGTACTGTAATTTCCTACATATGGGTCCTTTATTTCATTTGTTAGATTGATTTCTAAATATTTTATCTTTTCAGTGCTATTGTGAAAGGTGTTGCCCTGTTCTTCCCTCTGTCTTTAATTGATTGCCCTCTCTAGTGGCTCCTTTCTATTGGTGTTCTTGGAATTGTGGATTTTATTTTCTCCTTCTAAATGGCTTTCAGAGCATTTTGTAGAACTGGTTTGTTGATCATGAATTTCTTCAGTTGCTCTTTGTCATGGAATTATTTTATTCTGCATTAATTTGAAAGATAATCTTGCAGAGTACATCAATGTGCATTGGAAGTTGTTTTCTTTTAGGGATTGGAATACTTCACTCCATGCTTTCCTTGCCTTAATGGTTTGTGTTGAGTGTATCTTAATTTTTAATAGCTCAGTTTGATGTAGCAGAGAACAGTCTGGGAAATGCACCTTAAGGTACCTTTCAGGGACCCTGCTTAAAGTGACACTGATGAGGCATTTCAGTAAGAACTGAGTCCTTACTCCTTACCAGGTAGTACGCAGTTATCTTCATGTATAATTTAATTCACAAAGAGATCATTTCATAGAAACTAAAATGAGGTTCAGAAATGTTAAATAATTTTCTTTTTTTGGAGCGGGAGACAGTAAAATAGAATTTATTTTTAAAAATCAGAGCGCAAACCCCCGTAAATGCACAGGAGGTGGGAGGAGGGAGCAGAGCCCTTCCTTATCGTGGAGTGCCAATGAACAGCAACAGAAGGTCAGGCTTGGAAAATCATCACCAGATGCTAACTCGACTGGGCCACGGG